GAAATGATCCACACTTTCCGTAGTACTGAGGTTTCTAGAGTGTGATGGAGAGCTTCATTAGTGAGAGTAAATGTGTATTTAAATGAACAAGAAATATCATTGTACCTGGACATGGCTGACAGAGATCAGTGTTGTTGAGTTGTATGGTCTGGTTGCTGATGGGATTGTTGATCACACAGCTGTAGGAATCATCCAGACAGACGATCTCCAGAGGTAGAGAGAGACTGATGCTGAGATCAGACACACTGATGCTTGACAATACAAGGTTTCCTTTGTACCAGCAGAGACTCGCAGTGCTCACATTCACCACTGAACACACCACTGAACAATACTGCACTGACGAAGAGTTACTGATGACTGGAGCAGGCAGGCGAGCTGGAAAAGGAAATGAATCATATTAACAACAACTAAGAAAGAAGAGTTTTATTTTTCAGTATTTTGTGTTTTTGAGTCTATCTATCTATCTATCTATCTATCTGTAAGTGACCACTAAATCATTATATCCCTTTAAATAATTTTAGAGCATCAGAGCATGTCACGTGTTTCGGTAGCCTAGGTGACTAATAGGTTAGTCAGGCTAGCAGGAGCGAAGAGAAGACACGTTGCTGTGCGATTTATGAAAAAAAGGAGGCTTAATCCTGCACAATTTATTTAATAGAACCCTTTGGGAAAGCGGAGCGAGGTATGTGAAGTTAATATTTAAGCCACATGAGTTCATTTGTATGTATATGTTAATCGTGAGCTCTGCCTTCTTATTGGTTGTTTCAAACTGTCTTCATATACTTCATTGTTTCACTTTCATATGTCGCTCTGTACATTATATCTTTATTTGTCATATTATTCTGTATACGAGTTGTTTTTATTGATTTTTGTTGTTTCTTTGTGTAGTTTCACGGTGCTACGCAACGAAAGTTTAATGGCTCTCGTCTTGAGCATAATAAAGAATCAAGCACCCGTCAGAAACTCTCTGTCTCGTTCATGGAAACCAAAGGGCATCTATCTATCTATCTATCTATCTATCTATCTATCTATCTATCTATCTATCTATCTATCTATCTATCTATCTATCTATCTATCTATCTATCTATCTATCTATCTATCTATCTATCTATCTATCTATCTATCTATCTATCTATCTATCTATCTATCTATCTATCTATCTATCTATCTATCTATCTATCTATCTATCTATCTATCTATCTATCTATCTATCTATCTATCTATCTATCTATCTATCTATCTATCTATCTATCTATCTATCTATCTATCTATCTATCTATCTATCTATCTATCTATCTATCTATCTATCTATCTATCTATCTATCTATCTATCTATCTATCTATCTATCTATCTATCTATCTATCTATCTATCTATCTATCTATCTATCTATCTATCTATCTATCTATCTATCTATCTATCTATCTATCTATCTATCTATCTATCTATCTATCTATCTATCTATCTATCTATCTATCTATCTATCTATCTATCTATCTATCTATCTATCTATCTATCTATCTATCTATCTATCTATCTATCTATCTATCTATCTATCTATCTATCTATCTATCTATCTATCTATCTATCTATCTATCTATCTATCTATCTATCTATCGTGTTCAAAAGGAGGCACAAATGCAAGGGAATAAGTCAACACAGTTTTATTAAATAAAAGGAGGACAGAAAGTTCAGTTCTTTAGGGAGATGCAAAAAAAAAAGTCACTTAAATGCAAAAATTAGAACAAAGGCTGTCAAAGTGCACAGCCTTCTGTGCGATGCAGGACTGGTCAAACACAAATCTCCACAGCTAAACAGTTGAATAGAATAGGACAGACCTCAGGCAGGCAAGCAGATGGATAGGCTTCACTCAAGCGCAGACTGTGTGCAGAGCAGAGGTGAGCCAATGCACAGTGGGACGAGACGAGTTTCACAACAGTCAACGATTCTCACAGGTAAGACAAGTTGCTCAAGCAGCTTACAGACACAAAACAATTATCAAACACAGAATGCGGGAGAAGGGGAGATTAAATATCGATCTATCTATCTATCCATCCATCCATCCATCCATCCATCCATCCATACATCCATCCATCCATCCATCCATCCATCCATCCATCCATCCATCCATCCATCCATCCATCCATCCATCCATCCATCCATCCATCCATCCATCCATCCATCCATCCATCCATCCATCCATCTATCTATCTATCTATCTATCTATCTATCTATCTATCTATCTATCTATCTATCTATCAGTGCTGCTGCAAAAGGCTCTAAATATTCCAAGATGATAAATAAGGGTCTTATCTTTTTACCTTACCTGAATTTTTTGGTCATTTTCATAAATAATCTTTTAAACTTTTTAACCGCAAAACATTTATTTATTTGCATATTTGAAACTGCATTTTTGGAGGTTTAAACCACTGAGCACTATAGATGTCTGCTAAAAGAAGGATGAAAAGTGGGGGAGTAAAATTTGAGTAATATTTTAATGAAGTAATCTTTTAATTACTAAGCAGATTTGCAAACACACATACACACACACACACACACAAATATATATATATATATATATATATATATATATATATATATATATATATATATATATATATATATATATATATATATATATATATATTTGTAATAATATATATATATTATTATGTATATAATGTATATATTATGTATAAAAATACATATAAAAATATATGTATTTTTGTAATAATATTTAGACAGTTATTTTCTTTCATTGTCATCTCAGCATCCAAAGCTAGTTTAATGATAAAACAAATTACAGTTTATAAAAAATAATAAAAATTACTAAAAATATGCTGGTAAAATCTTAATAAATTTAACTCACCGTAGACGGTGAGGCTGAATGTGTTGAGTGGGATATTTGAGCTGCTGCTGGTCACTGTATAAAGTCCAGAGTCTGAGTTTCTGCTGTTTGTGATGGTCAAAGATCCAGTATGACTGCCCAGCTTCAGTCTGTCTCTGAATCTCCCATCAGAACCATAGACAACCTTTACCTTATTGTCCTTTCTGCTGATTGTAGCTAAGAGAATTTCTCTTTTAGGTCCAAACCTCCACATTATCAGATCATCACTCTGAATTTCAGTAAGAGCAGATTCAAGAGTGACTGAATCTCCTTCAGTGACCGACGCTGACTTCACCTCAGCTCCACACACACCTGATCAACACAAAAGGTACTCAAAACAATTTCTGATACATTTACTTTTCTTTAGTGATTTTTAAAACAGCCATGCTCAAACATTTGATCACTCAGCCGAAATAACCTAAAAGGCATTTGAATATATGTTAGTCTGAAAGAAATTAAAGATATAACCAACAAATGAATGCTGAAGGCAATTAAGTTCATATTAGCACAGATTTGGAGTTGTAAAATCACTTACCAGCCAAGCTCCAGGAACACAAACAGAGGAAAATAAACATTTTCTTCATACAGTAGGTTAACCAAATAGTTTCAGAAGTCTGGTAATAATCAGATCTGAACACTTTAAATCATCAAATCCTCTGGTCTCCGCTGTGAAGATGTTCAGTGTAAATGATCTCCTCGAGGAGCAACGCCCTTAACTGACACATCCACTGTTAAATCAACACTCTTTGATCTACAGAAAGAAGAAAATGTGAATCTGTAAATTAAAGAGCTGTTAATTATATTAATAACAATGTGATTGCCTTTGTTTTATTTTTCAGCATCATTTTGAACATCACAGGGTGAAACTTTCACTTTTTATGAAAAAAGTCTGCTTTAACTAAGAATGCATGTAACCAAAATGTGTCTAAAATGTCAATTAGTTTAGAATTTTCTTGTTTATCAAACTCTTCTAAATCAGAATTGACATGGTTTACAAGCATGCTTGATGTAAAAATATTTCATAAAATAAATAAATAAGTAAATTAAAAAATCAAGGACTCATTATTGGGAGTTATAACTTGAATTTGGATCACATTTATTCCCTTAAACCCCAATCAGTTAAAAAAAGACCAGTTTGAATAATTTAATGAAATGAACTAATTCTGCTTTTTGAGAGAGAGAGAGAGAGAGAGAGAGAGAGAGAGAGAGAAAGAGAGAGAGAGAGAGAGAGAACTAAGATATAAAATGATTAAATTGTCATCTGAATGTATTTCAGTACTTAATCATAAACACACAAAACATTTCTATTATGAAACTGTTCAGAGAACAGCTAAAGAAGATGTCTAGCACAATTATTTACTGTTTGTGCTCATGGAGTCTGGCTAGTAAACACCTTGAAGTTAAATAAATGTCTACTAAAAGTTAGCTTTTGCAATAATTAGTAGAGCACTGTAGACATATGTACGATATATGTACGAAAAAAGCTTATGAGTAAATCTATATTCAAGTTCATTTAAAATGATTGTTGTGTTGCTTCTTGTAGGCATCTGAGCTCTTAGTTATAAAGCTAATGAAAACCTGTTGTGAATTTGTTGCATGTCCACTAATATACTATTGAACATCACAAATAGATGACATGAGAGTGGATTTTCACTCCTGTACCCGTCCCACTTCCACAGAAAGAAATCTTGTCTTGTCCCATTCCCAGAGCAAAGTAAAAAAAAAAATCCTTTCCCATCCAGCTCCCATCCCACTCCTGTTTAAAATGACTACCGCTATTGTACCACTCCCATATATTTTTTTCTACTTTTAGTCTCTAGGTAATACATAGAATTTGATTTGATCTGCTCTCCATCCTGTTTTAGACCAGCTGCTGAGTCCCTGTTTTTTAATTTTCTGGAGATCAGTTACAGTAAACAGCACATAGTTCACACCAAGCTGCATTTTACTCATTGAAATGTTTTTTTTATTAGCATGTTAACAATTTTCATTAAATATTCTCTTGCATGATGAAAATGCAGCATGCACAATTTAAACATATTTATTAAGCATTAACATGTTTTGAAAAAAAAAGAGTATATATATATAATATATTTAAAATATATACATATTTAAAATTATAAAATGAATAATGTTCAAGTGTCATTATTTTCCAAAAGTAGAGCTGACATTTACCTACTACTTGTTTTGGACAGTTGCATACAGGTATTAAAAGCAAACTTTCCACTTCACAGGTCAGAATATTGTATGCTTTATCTCTCTCACATCCGTTTGCATGCAGAACATTTCTTTTGCACCTTGACCTCCTTAGAGCTTCTTCAGGCTTTACCTTAAAATAAAAAAGCCCCTCGTAAAAGCACCTCATATTTCCATTTAAAATGGAAAAAAATGCCCCTCATTTTGTTTGAACTATATACAGCATATGGATTGGTTTTAGCACAATTATGCTTGAAATGTTTATTTATTTATTTATTTATTTCCAGTTCTTTACAATACAAGTCCTGTATGCACTCAGTTACTTTTTTCTTTTTACTTTTATTCTCAGTATTCAAGGTCTCTGTATTCAGGTCAGTGTGTGATATGATATGCACTATAATACAGTATACTACTCTACTATTTTACTCTAGAAAGTTCTTGAAGAATGCCTTTGATCAGTGTCTCATGGCGACTCCAGCATACACCACGCCCTCCTCCTCCAAAATGCTCTGAAAGAAACACAAATGTTTATTCACACAACAGAAATAATTATCAAAAGCATTACTTGCCATTTATAAAAACGTCTATTGTGGTGCTTTTGTTTTCTGTTACACACACTAACAGATGCACACATATCAGCACTTTTTCTTTTCCAGTGTGTTACTTTTCTGTTTTTCAATGTAAACACACACTTGATGGTTGTGTGTGACTGAGACACTCTTGTCTCATGAAGCTCTACACACACCATGTTTTCTTAAATGCAGTGCTGCTCATCACTGACAGTTCCAAATCAGTGGACCAATCAGAAAAACTCAAAAGTGGGACAATTATTGCAAATTTCAGTCGCTGTGTTCGGATACCCTGGTGCTTTATTTTGTCCTATTTTTTTTTTTTACTTTTTTTTTTTAGAACCAAAGGCATGTTAAGTGGATTGAACTCTTAGGCCCCAATCCCAACAATGTGCTGTTTTTGATTTGAGATTTACCGTTTTTTTTTTTCAGGACTTTCTAATCGCAGTGAGCATGTTTGCATGCTGTATATGCACCCTGCGGGCCTCACATTTTAACTGCTTGCTGCGCCTTGTGTTTTAAAGTAAGCACTATGTGAAGAAAAGTTTTCAACAAGTCAACTCTGAGTGGAAAAAGCACATGATGTCAAGCGTTCCAGCATCAAGTCTGTTGATACAGTGGTTGCCTAGCAACAAAAAGGTGCAGCACACTGCTCTTTTAAAAAAAAATTAAACATAAAGGCAATGCGATGCACTTTGCATATGTAAAAATGACAAGCACATTCCCTGTGATCAGCCCCTTTTACATACAACTCTTGACTCAATGCTGAAATAATAACTGCCATACATAAAATAAATGCTCATACTGTATTCTTTTCTTCTCTTTTGTAGAGTGTCATATCTGCATATGTTATTTCTTCATTACTCTGAACTGCTTCATCTGCAATGACAAATATAAAAAGGAACGAAAATTTAATTAATATTATTTGGTTTTATTATTATTATTATTAATATTATTATTATTGTTATTATTGTTGCATGTTCTTCACACTTTTCCACATTATTCAGTCAATTACAAATATTTTCACAGATGTATCAGTAAAGGCTGATTTATATTTCTGCATTAAATTTATATTCTGCCGATCCTGACGCGCACCTCTCAAAAAATGTAACTATGTGTTTCCACGACGCATAACACAAGCTCTGTGATTGGTCGGCTCTGTGATCGGTAGTGGTGACACATTTATCAACACAAGAGCCGCAGCAGTAAAGCAAGCCTGATGGAGGGAGTGTTTAACAAGTGTCGAGTCCCATGGAGAAGCTCAAGATGGAGAAACTTGTTTTGTGTTTACCTTATGATTAAAGTTGTTGCACGTTCGCTGGCTCCCACCTTATGCTGCGTTCACACTAGATGCAGAAGAAGTGTCAAGCTCGAGTGATTTACAAGTCAATGCGAAGACGCGAATAGACATCCTGCGATGCAATACGCGTGAATGAGGAGCCGCGAATGGCGCATTTCGCTTGAATAAAGCAGTGCGAGTTTAGCGTTTTGCGCGATTGATATGTTTATAGACTGAGTTCAAAATCGGAACTTCAGCAGACATTCGCACCACGTTAACCATTCAGGAGCTTGCTCTTGTGGGTGGAGTGATTATGACGTAGTGCCTGTTGTTGGTGTCCCGTCGGTAAATCCTCCTGCCTACACCGACAACAGTTCATTGATTGGCTTAGTCAGTAGCACAGCTGAAAGCTTCCATCATCCAGGTTAAGTTTCTGGAGGTGTGTATGAGCTCTCAGAGCTTGGTGCACCTCTGAAACAATCTAGTGAACTCAGACACGGCACCAAACAAATCAACACGGTTTTCAGCCTTCATAAAGCACATAAACACAGCTATTTAGCCATTTAGCGATGAAGCTACAGTCACCGGGCAGAAAGAAGCCCTGCCCATCACGCAAATCTGCATCTATTGTGAAGTGAATTTGACGCACGAATGAAGCAAATTTGATGCGCGAATGAAGCGAGTAAACTCAAAATCTATTAACGCTCGAATAGTGTGATTTCTCCATGCCGCGTCTGGTGTAAACTCAGCATCACAATGAGCGAGTTTGAGCTACTTGTACAGTAAGACTTAGCATTACAGGTATGCTAATGTTAGAATAAATTGCAGATCGTCTGTGCGTTCCCTCAGTAAGCAGGAGATCGAGGAGGGCAACAACAACTGAGGTGTGAATCAAACAGTTTATTACTCTCTTCTCAAGAAGAGCAGTCCCACCTTTATACTCAAGGTTACATGGGCTGTGAATACGTGCAAGCATTCAGTTCAGTTCCTCTTGGTCTTTTTCCAACCACCCACACTCAGACAAAACAATTTCATTCAGTGCACAAAACGTCAACGCGCCCTAGTACAGGGACAACTTACAATAACATGAGAAACGGTTAGAAAACAACAGGATATAGGAACAGTGAGTATGTGCATATTTCTTTCAGCTAACAAAACACCCATGAAGAAACTTGACAGAGAGGAACATAAAAACCCCAACTAGTGTTTTGGAAGTGTTACTGCAGAGCAACACAAACAGAATGCAGAAGTATAAATGCGCAGCTACTCTCAAGGCAAGCGCCGTGGGTTATAGCAATCACTCGATGCAGAAGTGTAATTCAGCCTTAACACTTGCCTCCTTGATTTGTTTTCCTTTTCTTTCTGTAGATCCAGAAGACTAGAGGAACAATCAACAGAGATCCACCAGCAGATGGCAGCACTGTGTACAATAAAGAATGACCCTGATCTGTAATAGACAAAACTAAGTATTAAGGTTAAAAAAACTGTCAGCACTAAATGACTTTAGAGGTCAGTTTTAGTAAATAAACAACACATATCAGTTGATCTGTACCTGAACATGTGTGGCAGAGTGTGTCGATGTCCTGTTGTGTGGTCTGGTTGCTGATGGTGTTGTTGATCACACAGCTGTAGGTGTTTTTATCCTGATATTCCACCTCCAGAGGAAGAGAGAGACTGATGCTGAGATCAGACACACTGATGCTGGACAATACACTGTTTCCTTTGTACCAGGAGAGACTCACAGCACTCACATTCACCACTGAACACACCACTGAACAATCTGATGATGATGATGATGATGATGATGAACAGTTTCTGATGATGACAGGAGCAGGCAGATAAGCTGAAAAACATCAAAGAATAAACATAAATGGGGATAAAAATCTGACCAAAGATGATCAATTAGATGAAGAAAAACACTTTGAAACTATTTTTAAAGCAATTTGAAACAGGAAGAATTGGTTTAGCATGGAGGCAACACTAACCGAAAAGCTTTTGATGAATCATGAGATTTTTTAATAATTATATTTGAATATAATGCTGTATGCAGGAAGTCTGAAAATGGTATGTCATTTAAACTTGGCAAAACAAGCGAGACATCAATGTTATTCCAGGTTTAACTAATTTCATCTATTGAACTTATTTTATTGTCTTAAGATGTATAGCTTAAAATTGAAAGTAGAATAAACACTGTTAGCTGTTTGTTCAAACAAGTTTACTCACCATAGACAGTAAGGCTGAATGTGTGGAGTGGCGTCTCTCCTTTAGTGCGGCTGTACACTTTATAAAGTCCAGAGTCTGAGATTCTGCTGTGTGTGATGGTCAGAGATGCAGTCTGATTGTCCAGCTTCAGTCTGTCTCTGAATCTCCCATCAGGAGCATCAAAAGTCTCCCTCTTTCTGCTGATTTTAGCTAAGAGAACCTCTTTAGGTCCAAATCTCCACATTATCAGATCATTGCTCAGTATTTCAGACTCTAGAGTGACTGAATCTCCTTCAGTGACCGACACTGACTTCACTCCATCACCACACACAACTGATCAACACAAACACACACAATGTTTTTGTTGTTGTTGTTGTTGTTGTTATTATTGTTTGTTAACTTTTAAACAGTTTTGAGTTTCAATCCAACCAACATTTTTTGAAATTCTTGTAAGAGAAAAATTAATATCAGTAGACCTACATTAGTCTGATAAACATGGAACAATTATGGGAATAACAGCTAGTTACCAGATTTTTTTGTGTAGGCTATGTACAGAAATTAGGGTATAATCTTAGCCCAAGAAATGGGTTACTTACCAGTCAGACTCCAAAACAGACGAATATAAACATGCCAAACATTTGTTTCTAGACACTTTACTAAAGGAAAACAGTAGTAGATCATTTTAAAGGGGAAACTCAAAGGATTGAGTTTGACAGTATGAAGAAGTGAGTCCTGCTTGTCTCTGAAAATCGGAAGTGATTCAAGACTGTTAGATGAGAAGCTCCTCCCTTATCTGCACATTATAGGTCATTGTAGTTTTAAAATGGATAGATAGTAGAAAATTCTATCTCTGCACGACCATCTCTGATATTATGATCATAGGAGAATTTTACAATTTAGCAACCACAAGCATCCGCATTAGACTTATAACTAAAGGTTTTCAGGCGTGTCTGATTTCTTGATATGCGCTCGTATTAGGAAAGAGAGAGAGGAAAGAGAAATGACAACTCCTTACTACTGTTAAAATACTCATTGTTATTTTCTCCCTGTAATGTTTTAGATTTAGTCTCATATACTGCACAACACACAACGGATTTTGATAAATTAAAACTCAGAAACACGACTGCGGTCAAGCCAGCCACGGTTTATTTTTGTTATGCGCGCGTACTACAGTCATTATGGTAATTTACAGGATCAACACAGAGGATGCTGTTTCAGAGACATCGGTTTGCTCAAAATAGAGCAAATATAACCCATTTTTCTGCATTGTATGCTATAATAAATGTTTTATCAGCTTTTTTTGGCAGTATGTAAAAATAAGTAACGTTTCTCTGTGCTTTAATTCTGTAAGGTTATTTTAAGTTTTTTTTTGTCAAGAGTTTATAGGAAGTCAATCAGACATAATATACTCTTTATAAATACCCGAATTGCGTTTTTATTGGTCCTACACTAAATCCATGTCTCATATGAAACCTTATCACATCTGCATTTAGGAGAAATGTGCCATAAAATATATTTAAAAGTGCAACAAAGACCCCATTTCTAATATGTACAAAAAGAAGTGGTCAGTTTTGATACAGGGCATCCCACATATATCATATGAAAGTTTTTTTTTTTTTTTTTTTTTTTTTTTTGAATGAGGCTTTTCAGAGTGTTGTATCTTCAATAAAGATAACTACTGCAAGTAGGGTTGAAACGAACATTTACATCTGTTTACTTAAGTTGCAACAAATAACAGACATTTCCACCGTATGCCTTCCTACATCGGCTCTCGTCTTCAACTGGGTTACAGGCAATAACATACATATATAAACCAATAACGACCTCTTGTGGTTACTCCAGGATACTACACAGAGAAAAACAACTATTATTTCCTGTAAAGCATTCTTTAGCCTATGTATACATCATATGAAACTTTATTACTGCTGCACTTTGGAGAAGTTGGACATTATTTTATTCTGGAGGGCTATACAGGCTTTAATTCTAATAATAAATTTGCATTAACATTCTATAAAGACCCCATTTCTAATAAGTAGTTAATGGCACATTTCTCCAAAATGCTGCAGTAGAAAAGTTTCATATGAAGTTTGTATATAGTAGGGGACATCCTATATCAAAAAAGACCAGTGCTTTTTTCACCCTACTTATTATATTATTATATATTATATCTTTATAGCACTTAAAGTGTGTTAATGACACATATGGCTTGCATCCGAATTACCATGTTTTTTCCTCCCTAGTTACTAGAAAAAGGACCTTTATAGCATTTTGATTTCACATGTCTCTAAAAATGCTGCAGAAAGATGATGTCATATGTGGTATGCATGTGATATGGGATGTCCTGTATCAGACCTGATAATTTTTTATGTATTAGAAATGGGGTCTTTATAGCACTTAAATGGCACAATACTCTAATATGCTGCAGTAATAAGCTTTCCTAAGAGGTATGCATTTAGTATGTGATGTCCTTCCAGATCTGGCCATTGTTTTTTTCTTATTATAAGGGCCATTCTTCAACTACGGGCACTTTTAGCCTTGTGAAGTTAAGTAAAAAAAAAACTTGTTCTAAATTAACGTAACAGCCTCATAAGTTTAAACAATTTGTCTAGTTTTAAGATCTGTAAGAGGACAAACTTAGATAAGAAGAGAAATTGTTCATATTTAATTTTTTTTCCATTGTGAACTGAATAAATGTCAATTCCACCACATCTCAATATAAAGCTTTTGTTTCAAAATCAAATAAATTATGGCAGTCAAACATTGTCTTAAATCATTTTTGTATCGAGTTTAACCAATCTTTCCACTATATATATATATACATATATATATATATATATATATATATATATATATATATATATATATATATATATATATATATATATATATAATTATACATTTGTCAATGTAATAAATTAATTGCACACCTGTCACACTCTAAAATTTAAACTAATTTGGTTAAGAGCTTATTAGAAAATAAATAAACTGAATATGTATATTAAATAGAGCATGATCTTATACATTGTGAATACTCTTTAATGTGTGGTGATGGAAATGACAGTAGTGGAAATGACATTTCAACAGTTTATTGTGAAAAAATTAAAGATAGCTTCACCGATTAGCTTTGAATTGATCGCCTTTCATGAATACAAAACACTCTTATTTACCTTCATTTTGTTTGGTTTTTAAAAACATCTTTGAAGGTACAACATATTTGGAAATGACGTAGAATAAATGTATTTCCTTATCAAGCAATATTTACCTTGATTTTTCTTCAAGTGTTGTTGATAAAAATTTTAATTCCCTCCATCTTGAACATGTTTTTCAGATAGCACTATTCATTTTCATAGAAACCACCTAAATAATCTTCGACGCAAACTTTTTAAAGCAACATTACAGTGTCGTAGTGGAAACGACTGATACTGCGACGGCTATATTTTGTCTAAAAATAATATTGATAATGGTCTCACAATAAAAACTATAAATTTTTTTAATTATTTCACTAGTGCTTAATTAAGATACATTAATAGTTAGCAGATAAATAATATTTAAAAATGTTATTTTTATTATTGAAGCTTAAAACTTTCGGTGAGCGACAAGGTGAAAACAGTGATTTTGACACCTAAAAGGGGGTTGAATAAAATAAAAAAATATAAAAGAAAGGTAGAGCAAGTAGGTTTTATAGTTAGTTTGACAAAGAAAGAGGAATTTGAACAAAATTATACGTATTTTTGGATATATGATCAAAGGACATAAAAGTGGCGGTAGTTAAAGAATTACCCATAAACGAGGTTTTTACGGCATTTTACTTGCACATTAGCTTAAATGGTGCAGTAAGAGATGGGACTACCTCTGTCAGACCTGACCTTTCTTTCCCTACTTATTAGAAATGGGGTCTTTATATCACTTTAAAATGTGTTAATGGAAGATTTCTCCAAAAATTAAGCAGTAAACATTTTAATATAAAGTATGTATTATAGTATATAGTATAGGATGTCTTGTGTCGGTCCTGACATTTTTTTTTCTCCTATAGCGACTTGATCACTTTCAAGTGGGTCAGAATGACCAGTTTCAGACCTTAACATAAATGCCTTAAAGCAAGAAATAACATTTTATGTGTAACACATAAAATAAAATATTTTGAGAAATAAAAAAAGGTGGAAAAACTGTAACCATTGACATCCATATAGGAAAAACAAATAGTATAGATGTCAATGGTATTGTGTAAATTATTCAGGACTTCAGGAGCCCTCAGAACAGTTAAGAGAAGTTCACAGAGAGCTGCCCAATCCTTTATTTAAAGTACAGCTTATTTAGACACTGAGGTCTGTCAAAATGTGAAAAAAACTTCTTCAACCAATAGCTATAAGTCAAGAGTAAATAATTCCTTAAAAGGTGTCAAAGTTATTTTGATAGCTTAAGAGTATGAAAAAGGAACATCGCATGAAGGTATCGAACAGGAACATCTTTAAGCAAGAACAGAAACTCAGCTTGCAGAAATATATATCCTGTCTGGCTATAGCTAGAGAGTTGCAGTTCAAAGGAAAAATACATTAAAAATTACATTAAAAAAAAAAAACAGATATATAAACGTTTACAATGCAAATTATACATTTTTTTTCTACAACAATGGTAACAGGTGTCCAGCTTTCATCAAAATAAATTCTTCTATGTAATTAATAACAATTTTCATTTCTGGGTGAACTAACACATTAATCAGCTCTGTCTCTTCTTTTGTGAAGTCTTCTGGGTCTGATGTCATTAAGGAGCACAGCAACGGTAGCCAAACACAAAACAGCAGAGAGAGCCAATCGAATCCCAGCTTCAGTGGCACCACAACAGCAGTTACAATCTTTTTACAAGAAGAAATTAGATACAAATTGTATTTATTGTTTATATAGAGAGACTGACATAAAGAGAAAAAGAAAGAGAAGTACCTGAACATGGCTGACAGAGATCAGTATTGTTGAGTTGTGTGGTCTGGTTGCTGATGGTGTTGTTGATCACACAGCTGTAGGAATCATCCAGACAGTCAATCTCCAGAGGTAGAGAGAGACTGATGCTGAGATCAGACACACTGATGCTGGACAATAAACTGCTTCATTTGTACCAAGAGAGACTCACAGCGCTCACATTCACCACTGAACACACTACTGAGCAATACTGCACTGATGAAGAGTTACTGATGACAGGAACAGGCAGACGAGCTGGAAAATATTAAATGAGATAAGTCTAATTTAGTTAGATGTGTTATTTGTTAGTTGAGTGATATATACCTATTACATATCAAATGCAAAAATTAACCTGTGTGACGTAACTTAATTGTACAATATTCTCTGTAACTACAATAGTGATTATTGTCAAACCGCTTAATTCTCATACTCACCATAGACAGTAAGGCTGAATGTGTGGAGTGGCGTCTCTCCTTTAGTGCGGCTGTACACTTTATAAAGTCCAGAGTCTGTGATTCTGCTGTGTGTGATGGTCAGAGATGCAGTCTGATTATCCAGCTTCAGTCTGTCTCTGAATCTCCCATCAGGAGCATTAAAAGTCTCCCTCTTTCTGCTGATTTTAGCTAAGAGAACCTCTTCAGGTCCAAACCTCCACATTATCAGATCATCGCTCTGTATTTCAGATTCTAGAGTGACCGAATCTCCTTCAGTGACCGACACTGACTTCACTTCAACACCACACACACCTGATCAACACATGCACAAACACACAGACAGACACGGTGCTCAGAATTAGGAGATTTAAGACAATTTGCAACTAACAGTACATCACTTTACAAATTTCAATCTTAAAGTCTGTACTTTGAAGCAAATCAAGTCATTTAAAGTCATTAGAAGATATAAATGGATAAAAAAAGATGAACAGGAACAATATTATAACAGAAATACTCACCATTCAATATCCATGAAAATGAACCATATAATAGCAACATCTCAAATATATGTATTGCCATTTTTTGCTGAAGGAATTCAAAAAGCTCTTATTTGTTATAGAAGAGCTAAAGACTGCGCTGCTGGTTTGTAATAATGGTTAAGTGAAACTTTCTATATTCCTGCAGATGTGAAAACGCTCCCTTTATGCTGTAAATCCACATGCTGATGACAGCTTAATGCTCATTGGTTAAAGCAGTGTTTGTGGCCAAGCTTTGAACACTAAATGTAATTGGCCAGCAGGAAGCATTATTTTTTTATAACAATTTATTCAATCAGAACAGAAAGATCTGTGTTTTTGTTAATTTATTTACATGCAACATCAGCTGTTTTATCTGTCAAATATCTTAAAGGGCACATCGTTTACCCCTTTTTTATGATTTAATATTAATTTTATGGTTCTTCTGAGTGTGCCAGTTTAGGTTCAGTTCAACACACAGTTCAGATGTTTTTATTATAATGTGTTAAAAAGTGTGATGTTGGGGGCAGGCCCGGATTGGCTAATCAGGAGGACCGAGAGAATTCCCGATGGGCCGGTCCGTTTTTTCATAAATTTATTTATGTATTTGACCGTACCCACATAGCAAAATTTCTTTGGCCCAGCTCTGGCCCACACAATCAAGTTTTGCTTGGCCCACATGCCGCAGTGAATTACGGTACATGACTGGACCAAATCTGGCTTCCAGACAAGGGCCAAACACAGACGATATCTGGGCCAAGTCTCTGCCAAGTTAATAACTCATAACTGGGCCTGAACTGGGCCCGATAGGTTGGAGTGTCACGATTGCAATGAAATTGATAAACCCATGGAGTGATGAGCTTTAGGCATACTATGGGCACGCTTTTTCTCAAAGTGACCTGATTGGTAGAATTCTTTTTCTTTACTCAAAAATGTTTTTAGTGTATTTTAAATGTAGGTCAAGACTGGCCAAAATCACATGGCCCACTTATCAAATTTTTAAATCTGGGCCAAATACTACGTTTTTCATCTGGCCCAAATCTTGTGTGCCGCCTTAAAGACGGTGCCACCTCTGCCAAACCCGGGCCATGTTTGGCCACATGCTGTATGCCAGTGCCGGATGAATGCCTGCTGTGCCAGCTTTATGCCAAATCTGGGCCAGAATTCTTTGCTACTAGGGTAGCCTCTCTCTTTTTATTCATTATTTTGCCGTAGCTCCGCTCTTTTTTTATTTTCTCGCAGCCCCGTGAGCAAAATGCAGCCTACAGGGTAATGATGATGTAAATATCATCATTCGACCCCAAACAGCAGCACCTTAGTGAATATAATAATTTGAATAATTAATATTATTGAATAATACACCTGCTCAATGAAAAGGTGACCCGTGTTCGAATCTCACTTATTTTATTTTTTTCATTTTTATTGTTAAGACATAAAATACTGAGGGCTGTTGAACATTTAAAGTTCTAAAGCAGCTGTTTTCTTGTAAAAGACGTTGTTTTAGGGGCCCTGGTTGGGGGCGTTTACACAGCTCGCTGTTTTAGGGGTGTGTTGCATCACATAAAAATAAGTTTTGACTTCCCGCTCAAAAAGTCAAAACTTTGTGTTTGGCAAAAGACAGGCAGACAGAGAGAAGCAACCAGAGAGGACCACCATTCAGCCGTACATGTATGACTCGGACACAGACCAAGCAGAGACTACAAAATCATGTGTCTTTGTATAGTTTTACAGCCAACTGTTACAGCTGCTAGTTTAAAGTTCCGAGCTTGTACACCAAGACTAATAACCACCCACTCTGAATTAACTTTGACTGAGGCACCAGATGTGCTACTCAGAGACAGGGAACAGCAGACACGCACATTCGGATGTTATTTAATATGAAACTATTCAGATGGAGCTCTGTGGCACAGCAGAAATATGAAGTGTCCCGAATCATGACTGGGCGCCGCTCGCACTTTCCAGCTGCACCTAGTTAAGATCACAGGGAGCTTCTGTAGACGCAATGAAAAGTACACATTTGCAAACCTAACTACAAACAAACTAACTTACAAACAATAATTCTGAATACAGTGATCATGTGGTGAATGTTGACCTTGTGTTGAGCACAATGAGCCTTACATCTAAAAATAGAGCAAGGGTGTTCCTTTAGTGACATCGCTTTGACTCACGCTGAAAATGGCGGACGTGAAACAAGAAACTGAGGATATGATCGTGAAGCACGGCTGTCAATCAATACTGGTGAGCAGGGGGACCGCACTCCTACGTCAAGTTGCAGTCGATCTAAGAACAGCTCCAATTGGGTCACTGTTTTTATGTTGTTAAATTGAAAAAAAAAAGGAATGAGTGTGTTTATATCACCTCAATATGACGGTCTATACACTATACCTACACACATGTCTGTCCAAACAGCTTGAAAAGTAGATTTTTCACCATAGGTGCCCTTTAATGTGTTGTATATGATGTTACAAGCTTGTTAAATGATTGGATAACACAAATTAAAGAAACATTGTGGGCAATATGTGAGTAAAGAATGTTAAACATTTTTGTAACATTGTAAATGTTGATAATCATGCATTTCATTGATGACTTTAGTGGGAAAAATAAGGTAGGGGAAAGTGACAAGCCTAACCTGTTATCAAAATTGAATAAGGCCTTTATATAGCATACAAAGTATTATGCAAGGTAAACAACTATTTCTTTAGTAGGAATTATGAAAATGGGACACAGGAAAGGAATGTACTAGTAAAATAACTATATAATATGGGATACAAAGAATATACAATAAGAATTATATTAAATACAAAATTAAGATAAGGTAAAACCATTTAAACTGTTTTAAAATTAATTAAAAAAAACTGTGATGTTAAGAAGAGGAAATAAAGAGTTTACATACAAAACCTCTAAATATCATCAGAAATTTTCCTCTAAAATGAGCATTTTTATAGGCGCCTGTCTGTATGTTCAGTAATATCACTTTTGTGGCAAAGAATAAGTCCTTTTCCTGTTCTTTAAAGTGAAATATACAAACAAAGGAGGTTGAGAAAAAAAAATCATTTTCTATGGAAATTGCAGATGGCACTTAGAGGTTTGTGCGTCTGAACTCTTCATATAAATCATGCCTTGTCTGACCCTGAAACTACTTGACTACTTCACACTCCAGCACAGGCGGTGGCGATCGCGACTCGCCAATCAACCCAAAGAAGAAGAAGTTAAAACAAGGAGAATGAAGAACGTAAAAGAAAGAAAAGTTTTTTAGACTTTTTTTTATGGTACATCATGTTTGAAATCGTAATTGTTGTTCTATAGTAGCATATAATTCGTCAGTAGCAGTAGCTTTAATTATTGTTTTGGGAGTTGTTTTCACTTGCCGCTGTCAGCCGCGTGGGTGTGATTCAGAAACCACAGTTAAAAATGAACAGGATTCATCGAATTAGCTTTTCTGGAATCTTCAGCATTATGAAGAGGACTTGCACTTTCTTTCCCATTTTACTACTATGCAGTAAGTGCGAAATTTCTGTTTACTTTCGGTTTTGTATTACAATTGTAAATACAATTGTAATTACAGTTATCACAATGTGGCAAAAGACCAGTTTTATAAACAAACTATGCGTACAACAACGGTTGCTTGTTTTGCCTTTAACTATGCACATATATTCGGGTTGACTTGTATGTGGATTTGTATATGGGTTGGGTTGTTGACGTGACTTTGCATTTTCACTGTCACACGTTTAAACATGAATAATCAGTATTGACATCAATTATTATAATGCATTAACTGGTTATTTATTTGTTTGTTTGTTTTCCATGGACCTTTTTATCATAGAAACTGCTTTGTCAATACATCGTTTAACATGTTTTATCACGAGCAACACGGTGCAGTAAATAGCGCTGTCGCCTCACATCAAGGTGTCTGGTTTAAGCCCCGGCTGGGTCAGTTGGCATTTCTGTGTGGAGTTTGCATTCCCCCGTGTTTGCGTGGGTTTCCTCCCGGTGCTTCTGTTTCCCCCACAGCTCAAAGAAATGCGCTAGAGGTTAATTAAATAAGCTAAATTTGCCGTAGTGTATGTGCGAGTGTGAATGCAAGAGTGTGTATGGCCGTTTACCAGTGCTGGGTTGCGGCTGGAAGGGCATCTGCTGCGTAAAACACGTTGGATGAGTTCGTGGTTCATTCCGCTGTGGCGACCACTGATTAATAAAGGGACTGAGCTGAAGAAAAAAAAAAAAAAATATATATATATATACATATATATATATATATATATATATATATATATATATATATATATACATATATATTTAATTATCGATTCCATTATTGTTGTGGGGGGGAATTGATTTAAATTGCAAACAGATCTCTATGCAAATTTTAAATTGGGCAATTCCAGTGAAAACTTGAATTAGTTAAAGGACCCCATTCAAGATCATGTGACTGTAGCCCCCTGCGAAGCCTATGACCAGCACATGTTAATGATAACATTTAACAATGGTTTTAGGAACCACTCTAAAATTGGTGTGACAAAATATAACAAAATATAATTTATAAAAAAGGTTTCTGACATGTCATGGAGGGGGGAAAAAATAATTTAAAATGAATATCACTATATAAAGATAAGTGTCCAACAATGAAGATGAAGTGCTCTCATGGTATTTATTTATTTATTTATTTACTTGTTAATTTTTTTATTAACTATTGTGTGGAGGGGACAATTTATAAATCACGTAATTTAGATTTTGTCAGGTTGAAGGTTTTTCATTCATTCATTCATTCATTCATTCATTCATTCATTCATTTTCTTGTCAGCTTAGTCCCTTTATTAATCCGGATCGCCACAGCGGAATGAACCACCAACTTATCCAGCAAGTTTTTACGCAGCGCATGCCCTTCCAGCTGCAACCCATCTCTGGGAACATCCACACACACATTCACACACACACACACACACACACCACGGACAATTAAGCCTACCCAATTCACCTGTACCGCATGTCTTTGGACTGTGGGGGAAACCGGAGCACCCGGAGGAAACCCACGCGAACGCAGGGGGAACATGCAAACTCCACACAGGAACACCAACTGAGCCGAGGCTCGACCCAGCGACCTTCTTGAAGGTTTTTCATTCATATTTAAATACAACTATTTTTGATCCATCTTAAAAGTGTTTATTTTGTTACCCAATACATTTTAGAGGCAAATAACATAAAGGAAAGTGTAAGGAATAATTGTGAAATCTTGATGAGTAATCTTCAGGGATGTTTGTCACAAAATTCCATCTATTGTATTTACCGTAGATAGAAGAGCTCCAATTGTATAAGATGAAGTGCTGAAAAGGCATCTTTCTGGAGTTACACTTTTCAGACAACTCAATTTCAGGTTTAAATGAAGAATTAGATTTTTCTCCTTTTTAAACACAATTTAATATTTTTTAATGGCACCTGACAATATGTACACTTGAGGTACTAATATACTTTCTGTGTAGGGTTTAATTTTATGTCACTGCACATTTTATACATTGTCATTGTACTTTATATCATATCTAAATGTTTCTTCATTTTGTGTTGCAGTGTTTGGTGCTCATGAAGTGAAGGCAGTATCAGTGATGGAGGGAGATTCTGTCACTTTAAACCCTGATCGGGATATAAAGGGGATTATTCTGGTACATTGGAAGTTTGGAGTCAAAGGTTCCACCATTGCTGAAATGGATGGGAATGAGATCTCTTATCCTGAAATGAATGAGCTATTCAAAGGCAGACTGAAGCTGAATCAGACTGGATTTCTGACCCTCATTAACATGAGAACCAAACATTCTGGACTTTATAAAGTACAGATCGACCACCGTGGAGGGAGCTTAAAAAGAAACTTCCCCGTTACTGTTTATGGTGAGGAAATTCCTAAATGTTTTTATTTTTCCACTTTGTGTTTTTAGTACTTTTGCTTTTGATTGTAATGTATTAAAATGCACGTTTTTAAAAGCTGCTTTGGAACAATGAAAAGTTCTATAAATGTACATTTGAATTTAATTGAATTCAGCTTGCATATAATGCTTATACAACCCACCACTCCTCAAGCTCCCCTCACCATATTGGGACAGTATGGAAAACGCAAATAAAAAAAGAAAGTAGTGATTGCCAAATTTACTTTACATTTACATTTAATCATTTAGCAGATGCTTTTATTCAAAGCGACTTACAAATAAGGACAAGGAAGCAATTTACACAACTATAAGAGCAACAATGAATAAGTGCTGTAGGCAAGTTTCAGGTTGTAAAGTCTAAGAAGCAAAGCGTTAGTAATTTTTATTTATTTATTTATTTTTTATTTTTTTATTTTTGTAATACAAATATTTTGTAATATTTAAAATATGTCATGTTTTGTCTGGTGAACTTCATTTCATTTGTAAATAAATATACATCCTTTCCTGTCATTCAGACCTGCAACACTTTCCAAAAAAGTTGTGACAGGATCAGTTTAGGGCTAGTAATCAGGTAAACTGGTTAAATAATGATGTGATTTGAAACAGATGATGTCAACAGGTAATTGTAATTATGATTTGGTCCGAAAGCAATATCCAAGAAAGGTCTAGTTCTTTAGAAGGAAAGATCGGTCGAGGATCGCCAGTTTGCCAACAAATATGTGAGAAAATTATACAAAAGTTAAAAAATTATGTTCAAAGAACATCAAAGAAAGAGAGGAAGACATCTCTGATCCCTCAGACATCACTGCATCGAGAATCCTTATTCATCTATAAGCAATGTCACCCCATGGGCTCTGGACTACTTTGGCAAACCTTTGTCAAGTACCACAATACATAGTTACATCCTGCTGTGTGCTCCCAACCAAATAAGAAAATGATCATACAGGTTGTTACCAGCAACAAGTCCAAAAGCCAGAGTCTGTCATGGTATGGGGTTGTGTCAGTGTCCTCGCACTTCTGCGATGGCACCTCAATGCTGAAAAGTACATAGAGAGTTTGGAGCACATTATGCTGCCTTATTTTTTTCAGAGATACCCATGCATATTTCAACAAGACAATGCAAAATCACATTCTGCAAACATTACAAAGCCCTGGCTGCGGAGGAAGAGGATACAGCTGTTTGACTGGCCTCTCTGCAGTCCTGACCTCTCTCCAATAAAGAATATTTTGCCCAAGACTTGTTTGCAGGAAGAATGGGACAAAATTACACCTGAAACACTTCCTCACTTGGTGACTTTAGTCCCTAAACGTTGTTTAAGTGTTGCAAAAAGAAATGGCAACATTACAAAGTGATAAATGCTTTACGGTTCCAACTTTTTTGAAATGTGTTTCAAGCACCAAAATCAAAATACGTGGTCAATTTAATAAAAAAAATAAATAAAGAATGGGGAACACATTAAATAATTTTTGTGGTATTGTCTGCATTGAAATTCAAGTCAAAGTAAATTTAGAAATCACTACTTTCTTTGCGTTTTCCAAACTGTCCCAACTTTTTCTGATCTTGGAGTTGCAATGTGTTTAACAGTTAAAAAATTTAATTTTTCAAATTTCACAGTCCTGCTGTTTTTGTTTGAGCTGCTGGTGATCACGTGAGTAATATTCAGAAAAAAACATCACAGCCTAATGATCACCGGTTTACAAGAGCAATACAATGACACTGAATCGTTTGAAAGCTGCATTAATCAGAGGATCCATCAACAGATTGACACGGCATTCAAATACTGACACACATGACTTTCAAGCACTTCAGTGCTCAAGGACTTTTATGTCCCTTCAATGCAGGTATGTGTGTCTATATTTTAAACAAGCTCTCTTGAAACATATTTTCTTGCGAGTTAACCTCAAAGTCAGAAGCAGTATTGGCTACTGAAATATGATGGTTGCTCGCTCTTCTCTTTCTTGCTTTTCTTCATCATGCCAACTTCTGTATCTGCTTTTCACAGCTTTACACACTCATTTAACTTGTTCAACAAATAAAAAAATCAGAGGTAGGCTTTAACTAAAAGGTTGGTTGGTTTGTGACCCTTTAAAGAGCAGGGGCCTCATGTATCCACGCAGCGTACATACAAAAACATTGCGTACGGCAGATTTCACACTCTTGTTGGATTAACTAACAATGAATTGAACGTGACAATGTGCGTTGGTCCACGCAAACTTCCATACCCTGCAGTTGACTAGCCAAACATTAAAGCGCAATTTGCAGCGGCCGCCGGTTTGCCTAATGTAATCAGAGCGACGACTGCACGCACATTGCTATAAAGGTGCCACCTGAAGACGAATTTGTAGACGTGAATCAGAAACATTTCCGTTCAATAAATGTGCAAATAAAATATGATGCACACACTTATTAATGATTCCTACATGTCTTCCTTGTGATGAAGAGTAGCCAAAATCTGATATGTGGCGGGGGAAAAAAAAGAACGTCTTCATCAGGTGCTGCATTCGAACCGAGATCATGCTCAAATGTGTAAAAAAAATTTTGCCATGCATTTTACGAGCTACTCCACTCATGCTGTTGAAGATACTATGGAATTTTACACCTTTACATCACACTATTTCTTTTTAAATCCACTCAGTGTGATGTTTAGACCCAACTGTGTTAACTACATCAGCTAAACTCTCCCACCCTATTTTTTTCATTTGTTATTATGTCCAGGAAGACAAACTTGCAAATAACACCATTTTTCTCCGGTCTACCTCCGAAAGCAGCACCTCCAAATCACATTCTGTTCAAAGTTTCTCTTTTTGCTTGCTTTTGCCATTGTTTTTTCGTTTGATTTTGCCAAAGTAGAGTCATTTGCATATTCATACGGGGGAGGAGGCAGGGAGGGGGTTTGCGCTCGTGCATGTTGCGCTCAGTTTCACGTTCATTCAGATGTACAAAGAGAATATGCGTGTGGTTCTGCCTACGCAGTGTTTCATACATCTGATTTTTTTGTGCGTACACAATGTTTTAGGATGATTTCAAAGCAAGTCTTCGTAAATGAGGCCCTAGGTCATTTTAATTTATTTTAAAATGCAATATTTAAAAGCATCTAAGGTCAGAATACATTGTAATAGTTTAAAAAATTTGCACAATATTGGAATAATTGTGCAATTATTTAGTTTGAATTATATAAACCTCTCCCTTTTATAATCCAACTCCTCTCTTATTGGTAAGCTGACCAAGTCTGTTTTGATTGGTCTTTTCATATGTATTCCATGTATTAAATGAAATGCCCGTTTCTAAGTGATTGATGTAAAATGAAAATGTGATTCTGAGCTGACTTTTTTTTTTTTAAGAGACAATATTTCTATCATACACTTTGTTTTATTATTAAAAACTTTTCCATTGAAAGAGTGCTACATTACAAAGTGCTAATAAGATTTTTTTCAAAAACACATATGACCTGCTCTTTAACTAAGCCCAACCAAAAATATAAGATAAACCTGAATAGTTTTACAGTTTGAAGTGTATGTAATAAATCTAAAATAAACAAATTGTTGTAAATCTTTATACTTTGGTGTTTAATCTAGCCTTGTTAATAATTTTCTTGCAGAGGTTCCACCTGTTTTTGAAACTTACAAAGCTGAAATGAAGAGTATATCAGTGAAGAAGGGAAATCCTTTCACTCTTCACACTAGTGTTGCTGAATTACACGGAGATGAGCTGATAGTGTGGAGGTTTGGAGATGAAGGAAAACTCCTGGCTAAAGAAGATAAAGAGACCAAGGGTTCACCATATTATAATACTGATGAGAGATTCAGACACAGATTGGAGCTGGTTGACCAGACAGGATCCCTGACCATCAAGAACACGAAAGAGATAGATGCTGGACTTTACACAGTAAAGATCAGCAGCAACGAACAGACATCATTCAAGAGATTTATTGTTTCAGTCAGCGGTGAGTAATCATTATCAGATGACTGTGAATAGTTCAGATAATCTGATATGAAAGACTTAAGTCATACCTATTTTGAATATAACACTCAGTCTCCCTTTATCAGTATAGTACCTTTAACAGCTCTGTATTGTTTGTTTTAGATCGGACTGCTCTGTTTGTAGTGTGTGTTTTAGATTAGACTATTCATAATTACTGTCTTGATCAGTATAGTATCAGATCTTTATCGAGTTATATAGAGCTGATGCGTATAATGTTTTTATAGATCTGACTGTCTATGTTGACTGTATGTCTTTATTGTTCCAGATGTAGGTCTATCTCCAGCTGATGTAACGGTTTTTATTGTTGTTCTGCTGCTGCTGTTTGCAGCTGCAGCTGGATTCGGTTTTTATTGTCATCGCCGCAAGATCTCTAAACTACAGAAAGATAGGAGTAAGTATTACCCTTGATCAAACGAGAGAAAAAATGACTTATTTTGTGGCGCGGTAGAGTGTAAAAGAAGAATATTTTTATTGTCACATAATATTTATTTGTATTGAGACACTTGTGCTTTTAGCATTCACATGTTTAAGATTATTGGCAGTGATTTTGTGAGATCATGATTCTAAAAGTAAGCTTAAATTAATTTTCCTTGCGATCATGACAACATATCATACTTTTATTTTAAAATCTATGAAACAATGTTTTTTTTTCATGTTGAAGAAAAAAAGCCAATGTTTGTCATTGGCTGTTTCTCAATTCCAAGAACGCAGAGAACAGACTTGCATTTTTGTGAAGAGTCGTCTTGCCAGGTCAACTCGAGAGAACGAACTCAGTAGACCGCGAGGACAGACAACGCATCCTGTGAGAAATGAGATGCTGCGTTCTTTCTAATGGTGACATGACCTTCACACGTTTTTAATGGAAAATTTAAACATTACAGCATTCATACAACGACTTATTGTTTTTTTCCCTTTTCAAAATATATACTGTGCATAAAAACATTATAAATATACATTTCACAATATAAATAAAACATTTTAATACAAATTTCAGCAAATAAACACCCTTAATGTGTTTACTCCTTTATCAAGATTTTCATGCTGATGTTTATATTCACCATCTCATTTAGGGAAACTTCTGAGATAAATAGGTTCTATCCCTGAACTTTAATCAGAAATCTATATAAAATGCTTCCCACCCCAGTCGCAATGACTTCTGGGACTTCTCGAGTGAGTTCGGTGCTCAAGTTTGCATCGATGTGTCCTCTTTATCAAAAACACATTTGGGAAGTCTCACGCGTCCTCTGTTCTTATACAGTCTTGAGTATTGGAACTGAACTTTGGCGGTTGATGATGACGTTACACGAGAACACGCAAGATCGCTGAGGATCGCATATTGAGAGACCGCCGTAGCATTTATTGTCAACTCTCACAGATTAAATGAAAAAAAAAACACAGAAAGGAATATATATAAAAAATCATGACTGACCTGTTGATGTCAGCTACATCATGCATTTGAAGTGTTGGCCATTTTAGTGTAATGTAGTAGGAAAATTAAAAGAAAGGAGTAGTTCACTTTCAGAATGAAAGCCTTATCCAAGATTATCCTTTCTTTCTTTCTTTCTTTCTTTCTTAAATCAAAAGGAAAAGAAGGTTTTTGAGTAAATATTTCACCATTTAATGGACTTCTATGGTTGGTTTAAACTAATAAAATATACAGTTTTAAAGAGTCTTACACAGGGAAACAATGTCTCATTTTCTTTAAAAAAAAATTCATTTTCTTTTTAAAAACAAAAACTTGTTTGACATTAGCTCTGGGACGCAAACTTTGATGGTTATACATAAGTTGTTTTTTTATTTATTTTTAAAGAAAATGATTGTTTTGTTAGGAAGTTTAAACCACTGAAACATGTAAACTTTTTTTTTCTGTTTGACTGATGATGAAAGGAAATGATCGTCTTTTATAACAGGAGTATTTTGATTCTGTAAGTGAACTAAACTTTGATAACAATGGCTTTGTAGAGATCTCTCATTAAGTTTTAATTTAAAAATGCATAATAATAGATTTGGTGTTAGTTCTTTTCTTTGTTTCTAGTAGTATTTATCACCCTCTTTTATCACTCAAAACAGAGTAATCTAATGCTAACATTTTCTTTCTTTGTTCTTTTTATTATATTTTTTTTTTCAATTTTTTTTTTTTGCGGTCACAAATGAAGAGGAGATGAAATATGTGCAGCAAGGAGAATCTGTCCCTCTTGAGCCTGATACTGAAATACAGATAGACGATAAGATACAGTGGATGTTTGGAGATCAAAAGTGTCTGATCGCAAAAATGGGAAAAGGAGAGACCAGAGAGATAACATATCCTGATGAGAGATTCAGAGATAGACTGCAGGTGGACAAGAAGACTGGAGCTCTGACCATCAAGAATATCACTATTGAACACAGTGGAGATTTTAAAGTGAAGATCAGCAGCAGAAGAAGAACCCAAATAAAGATCTTCTGTATTATAATTAAAGGTGAGTTGTTTGTGCTTGAAAATGAACACAGATTAGCATTCATTTAAGCAAAGGGTTACACTGGTAACCTGGATGTGTGAATTAAGTCAACACTCCACATTATGGGTCAATGAGCCTTGCTTAAGTCCTGCTCACACTGCAATTTTCAACATGATTTGGTTGTCTGAGACAAATTTGGAAAACCCTGAAAGATTTCCTCAATCCTAGGCTAAAATTTGTGGTCTTTGATTGCTAGTTTGACATGTCCACCGACAGCTGCTTCAATTCCAGGAAGAACACAATCAGAAACATATTGATCAATTCTGATTCAATATGGATTATAATTTGTTTATTTTTTATTGCATAATTTAGATCCAGATTTTTTTGAGAAAAGATCAGCAGGAAAGATCTCCAAAGATGCTGTTTTAAACTGTAAAGAAATCTGTGTTTTTAAAACAAATGAAGACAGCAGAAGTCTTTAATTCGTTTGAATTATTCAGCCAGATATGTTTACTGCTCCAAAATATTTTAAATGTTTAGCAAAATAAAATATATTGTTTTCAAAGAGGACAAAAGTTTTAGTTTTTTTTACTCAGACATTTAAAAAGAATATGTTTTAGAGTAGTAATCACAATATAGCAAAACCGTAAAATTTTTATCCAAGGTTATAATACCGTCAGAATCTTAGGGCCTACTCACACTATGTCATCCGTACCGTGCCCAGGCCTGTTTCCCGGATCGTTTGAGAAGTGTGAGTGCGCTGAATCGGGCTCAAGCACGGTTCACTTGGCCGGCACTGGCCTGGTTGGAAGAGGTGGGCCTGAGCGCGGTTCACTTGGTCTTTGGCGCAGTACGCTTGTGTGTGAGTGCAAAACACTCCAAAGCCCGAAACTGAAAGCGAGACGTGACTTTTACGGGGCCGTTTCATATGGATTTATCAATCTTTCTTACTGTTCAGTGAACGCAAACTGCCGTAGTTTATTAAAGACGCAAACTCCTCACTGCACGACAGCTGCACCTTCAGCAGACCTCCTCATTCCTGCAGCACGAGAACATTATGATTGTTTATGAGCTGCAAAAGTGGCGGATCTGTTCAGCGAAATATCTGACTGCGTGTCACCGCATCCCTAAGGACTGTTTGGCGAAATATTTGACTGCATGTCACTGCATATCAAACGACTGATACGATATAACTAGAGAAATCTCCTCTGTGCTGCTGAGTGAGAGCGCTTCTCACTGAACAGCGCAGCAGCGATGACATAAGCATGCTGAGGCCCGATATGGTGTGAGTGCGGGCCATCAGGGAAGACGGGAGGGGGGACAAGCGTGCTTTGGCCCCGTTCGAGGCAACTGTACATTGTGTGAGTACGGTTTTATACCGACCCATAACTAGTAGTAAGTATTCAGTATGAATGAAGAATGACGATTGCGACAGATTAACGACTGTATGTTTGTGTTAAACCTTATTTATACTTTTTTTGTCAAGGGATTATTTTCCATGTGACCAACATTTTCTTTTTTATACTTCTGCATTCTGTCTATGTTGCTCTGCAATAACAACCAAACATGGACAAACCAATTTCTCTCCATCAAACAGCTCTTACAATGTCTTGGAGGCTAAAAAGGGAGGACTAGGCTCTCTTCAGCCGTATTTGTAGACTGATTGTGAGCAGATGTGGTTAAATTGATAGTGTCTTAGCGAGGCTTCTTCTCTCATAATATGGCATTCTGACTGAGATGAAATAAAACTGAATATTAATAGTACTGTTTTGTTGAAGTTAATTGAGAGGAGAAGAGATATTGTTTAGGACAACTTTGATAAAGGCTTTTGATCCCCTTAAAATGTTGTCTACCCTAGTTTGTTAATGGAATTGTCATTTACAGTTTTTTATTCTTTGATCGCTTTATTCAATATTATAGTGAACATGAATGCTAATATAAAGCAGCACAGGAATTTTACTGGGAAGATTATTTATATAAAATGCACACGTATAGAAAAATGCTGCATTTAGGTTAACATTGTTTTGTTGTAATATATTAGAGTTATGAACATCTCATATTGACCTCTTTAGTTTGTTCTTGCTTTCACATTTACAAAATATTTCTGTCCAAAGAAGTTTTGCTGACTTGCCTGTTATTTGCCCTTTATTTCTGTTTTTGTGAAATGAAGAGGAGAAAGTGACAGTCATGGAGGGAAGGACAGCTGTTTTACACAGTGGCACAGAAATACAGACCAATGATCAGATAGAATGGAGGTTTAACACCGAAGAGTCTCCCATAGCTGAAATCAAAGATGGACATAAGATCTTTCCATCTGATGGTCCTGGTGGGGTATTCAGAACCACGCTCAACCTGGATGAGAAGACTGGATCTTTGATCATCAAAAACATCAGAAATGAACATGCTGGGGGTTATTATTTAATTATCAAGAATAGAAGCACCAAGCACCATGATAGAAGATTCATTGTTAAAGTCATTGGTGAGTTTTTAAAATCTTTAAGTTCTTCTCATACATTTTTTTTTCTTAAGGTAAATCTATTTAAAATGTACAGACTCCCGTTACGCTACAAATCATTTCCGTCTTCATAAATTTAATGATTGTCCACTGCAGACACTATTTGATTCTTGCTGGAAATGTTTTGCAAACTAATACCGAGATAGTTCAGTGTTTCCTCTAGGATTCTTTCCAGCTAATGTGGCAGGCTTTTTACACAGATCCATAAACTACCTATGGTGTTATTTCAATGACAAATGTCGTGAGCGCAGTATTACAAATCGAGATAACATTCTTGTAATACGAGCATGTGAATCTGTGCTTGCGTGCCGATTTTCTCTGTTCGTGCACAAAACTTCTTGCACCCGTCAATGTATGCTACTCAAGCAGAAGTCTTCCTGTGCGCTCTCAAATAAACACTGCTGAAGTGCGATTTAGTGCGTTTATGTAATGAGGATGTCTCCAACATTTATTAGATTTGCTAGGAACATTTCTGAATGTCTCCAATAGAGCTACAGAGCATCATTAATGCGTCCTGGAGTAAAGTGAAACGGCAATAAACCCCAGCAAGATAAAGTCTTTGTATGCGGAACCACAGACCACACCTTTATCTATATAGTATAATTATGGAAACTTTGTTCATCATACTGAAAACTATGTCGTGTTTGCTGGCCTCACACATCGCATACCTTTCAGTCAGCATGTCACCTTAAAGGGTTAAACAAATTACGCAAAGCACGACTACAATTACAGAAAAGTTTGCTCTGTAATAATTCACTTAACTTTTAATATGTTTTGGTGCGATTATGACCTGCTAATTAAAAAAAAAAAAAAACAACGACTGAAGTTTTTGAATTAGAAGCTTTAAATAGCCATGGCGGGAATGAATTTTGGTGTGGCGGCCTGCCATGGAAGAATGAATGTAGCGGAAACCATGCAGTTTGTTGTGCATAACTATAAAATCTTTAGTGTTATTATAATTGACCCTTCGCTAAGCCACACCCTAAAACCCCCACCCACCAATTGTGGCTTGAAAACCGCAGCTACGAGCAGGGCTCTGTCAAGCTTTCGAGCGAGGGAAACAGGCCAAAATGCTATGCATATGGATTGTGCAAATCTGACACCCGATATTCCTAAAGTTTGGACTGGGTGGTGGAATTTTTTTTCTCTTTTCAAAACCTAAAACCAAAGAGGAGAAATGCCAGCGTGGATCAAGCTGTGTGTGTGTGGCTTTGTTTACACCTGGTCTGTGCACTCAGGAAGTTTGGTTCCCTTTGTGGAACGAAACACAGACACTGGCCCCCGATGGGTGGAAAGACACTTCCTCTTGTGTAGGTACAGAACGCAGATGTTGTTTCAGTTGGCCTTCTTTCATTTGGCGTATTCACATGTAGCTTTCTGGTCCACATGTGATCCAGTGCGAGGCTACAACACAGTTGTGTTCTGTTGGTGCCAGTTGTTTGGTGTCGGCTTGGTGCCTCCTGGCCCTTAGGTAGAATGATTCTGGTTAGTCAAAACATAGATATACTTAGACAATGTCAACATATGTTTGTAAAATTCAGATTATTTAGGGTACACTATAAGATTACAGCAATTACTGCATATATCACAATGTACAAATCACAGAAAGCATAATATGCCAGTCCATACAGGAGCGCTCATCATATGGATACCTACTCCTCCATGGTGATTTTGTTGGTGGAGTGGATCTGCATAAAATATATAGAACAAACTACATGAATACAACAGAGCAAAGATACAAATGAAAAATAAATAGTGTTTATGGTTTTCTAGAGAGTCATAGTTTTTAAATAAAATAAAACCTTATAGTCTTCATCGTATAATTAAAAAATACAAATAATCTTTGATTAAATATTGTGATTAAACTTTGAAATGACTCCACAAATGAAAGTGGCTTGTCGTCAACCTTAAAACACACTCAACATAGCAGATCCTGCGACAGTACAATTGCAAATATTGATGCTTGTTACAACCTCCTGGCTCAAGAAAGTAGCAACAAAACCAAATAAAGATCCAAACCAGAAAATTAAATCAACTGAAATATATTTAATCAAAAAATTTAGTGAAATGATACAAAGAATATAAAGAAAAGAAAATAAAAAAATCTCCAAAACTGAAGAGGGAAGGATGAACACCCGCAGTCCTGTTCTCTTGGTTTTTATCCAAAAGCACATCACAGGTAACACTCTACACCTGGTCCAAACGTCAATCACGGCAAAACACCGCACCTGTTCAAAACTCCAGAAAAATACCAGATCATGGAACACCTCCATCTAGTAAACAATGGTTAACAAAACCTTACGACCGTCACAATGCTATTATGATATTTCTTACAGTTCTGTGTTGTATTAAATTTAAAAAGGTAGATAATTGTGTCATCCAATCAAACGAAACCCATTCTCTCCATCAAACAGCTTTTACCGATCTATCGGAGGCTTATTTAATAAAGCCTCTCCTGATGGGTCTTTCTTAAGCCTGATGTATACTCCTGCATCGAGTGATTGCTGTACCCCATGGCCTATTCCTTGCACATAGCGCACACACTGTTGTGAGCATTTATATTTTTGTGTTGTCTTTGTGGCTCTGTAATAGCACTTTAGAAACACTAGTAGGCAGTAGGGTTTTTATGTTCCACTTTGTCAATTTTTTTTCACCTGTGTGAATATGTGTGTGATGCTACTGTAGAAGCAGTTCAAACTCTCAATTATTCAAAGAATAAAGATGTGGGAAATGAAGATTGTCCAAAAACTTTAATTATAAAGTTAACATTTGTTTTTATCTCTATTGACCTCTACAGCTTGTTCTTACTCTCACATTTACAAAACATTCCTGTCTCTTTGTGCCCAATGAAGCTTTGCTGACTCACCTGTTTTGTCTTAATTCCTCTGTTTCTGTGACACGAAGAGGAGAAAGTGACCGTCATGGTGGGAGATACAGCTGTTCTGAAGAGTCCTGCTGGAATTCACACCGATGATCAGATAGAATGGAGGTTTAAAACTGATGAGTCTCCCATAGCTGAAATCAAAGACGGACAAAAGATCTTTTTATCTGATGGTCCTGGTGGGAGATTCAAGAACACACAAAGCCTGGATGAGAAGACTGGATCTCTGACCATCAGGAACATCAGACCTGAACATGCTGGTGGTTATCAACTAATTATCAAGAATAGAAACACGGGAGCCCGTGTAAAAAGATTCACTCTTGCAGTCATTGGTGAGTATTGGAAGTCTTAATATTTTATGAAGTTCTCTTCATACATAGTTTTTTTCAGGTAATTCACCTCAAAATATACAGATTTAAAGTTTACTGTTATACGGTGGTTAGCACTGTCGCCTCACAGCAAGAAGTTTCCTGGTTCAAGTCCCAGCTGGGTCAGTTGGCATTTGTGTGGAGTTTGCATGTTCTTATGCGTTGACGTGGGTTTCCTCCAGGTGCTCAGGTTTCCCCCACAGTCTAAAGACATGCGCTATTGGTGAATTGGATAAACAAATATTGGCCGTAGTGTATGTGCATGAAAGTGTATGCATGTTTCCCTGTACTGGTTTGCAACTGGAAGGGCATCCACTGCATAAAACATATGCCGGAATAGTTAGTGGTTCATTCCGCTGTGGTGACCCCTGATAATCAGGGACTAAGCCGAAGGAAAATCATCAATGAACTGTTACAACCCCTGGACAGTCTTGGAGAGTGGGGTTGCACATTGAGTGAAGCAGTGAGTGAGCTATTTACAAATCAAAACCAAAACATTAATTAGAAAAACTGGCTATGGGCGGCGCTAAAGCAAAGAAATAGTCAAAACCAAACAATCTTACTAATATCAAATGCGCTCTAATCTAGTCTAATGAACAAAAATGTGAAAAATAAATCTTCAATGTACAAGACGTCTTACCTAAGCTACACTTACTATCCACTAACCAAAAATACATGGGTTGGCACTCACCCCCTTTCCTAGTGTATCTCTAGACAGTTGAACTCCTATGTGTTGAAATGTATGTCACGTGCCCTATTTACTTACCTACCAATCTTTCTACCAAACCTTTGTAGTGATTCATGAGGAAAGGGAATGAATGATTACTCAGGTAGACATGACACACAATATATCCCCATTTTGTTCAGTTTTGTTGTGATATAGTCATAGAATTGAACAAGCAAACAAGCACAGAAACCAATAACAAATAGAGCCAACAAAGACTGACAAACTGCTGGCAGTCACAAAATATATTCTGAGCTGGAGTGATCTGATTGGCTCAGACCGGGACCAAGTTGCTTTTGAGAAACCAATCAGCATAAGGCGGTGTCAGGATTGGTTGTATCAACTAGAGGTGAACTTTAAGTTCATGCTTAACATTGCTCAAATGTTAGCGAGAAATAGACTTTTGTATAGTTTCACTATTGATTGGTACCGAACTCGATACTTTTGACATCCCTACAAGTTGCTTTGGTTACTACTAAAGTTTAAGAGAAGCACATTTATTTTAAATTTAGATTAAAACTGATAGGAGCCACCTATGTAATAAACAATTTTAATGCACAGCCTCCAGCCAATCAGAACCAAGAATTTCAACAGACCATGGAATAATCATAAATAACACACATGTATAGAAGTGTGTAATGCTTTTATGTTGACATTATTTTGTTCTGGGTAGGTTAACATATTAATTAATAAAAAATCTACAGTTTCCATTAATTTTCCTTTGGGCTAGTCTCTTATCAGAGGTTCCCATATGTTTTGCGCAGCAGATTCCCTTCCAACCACAATCCAGTACTGGGAAACGCCCATACACACTTATTCACTCTAATACACTACGGCCAATTTAAAACGGGAGCACCCAAAGGAAACCCATTCCAACACGGGGAGAACATGCAAACTTCACACAGAAACACCAACAGACCCAGCCGGGACTCGACCCAGCGGCTTTCTTGTGCTAACCACTGAGCCATAGTGCCACCCAGTTTTTATTATTCATTCATTCATTTTCTTTTCAGCTTAGTCCCTTTATTAATCAGGGGTCGCCACAGCAGAATGAACAACCAACTATTCTAGCATATGTTTTTATGCAGCAGATCCCCAACCAATGACAAACCAGTACTGGGAAACACCCATACACACTCATTCACACACTTACACTACGGCCAATTTACTTCACTTATAGCGCATGTCTTTGGACAGTGAAGGAAACCAAAGCACCCGGAGTAAACCCACGCCAATGTAAGAGTCCCTCTATTAGTCCTATGACGGAACTAACAGCATGGGTGAAGGGTAATACATGTAAGTCTTTTTAGCACATGTGAAAAGAAATATTTTTATTTGTTAAAATTTATTTTAATTTGTTTCCAACTCCAAAATTTTAATCTGACTCCAATTTATAATAATTTAAATTTAGATTCATCTAATTCAAGCTGATTACCCTGTAGGTCGTGATTAGGTCTAATTTAGATTGATTAACCCAATAAATCCTTATTTTCAGTTAATAGTTCATTGTTTACCCGAAGTCGCTTAGAGTCAGTATGCTGGCCAGTTACATCTGCTCACGGACACATCCTCACCAGTTCTGATTCTTAGCTCATTTTTTTTTAAGAAATAATAGGCCAACCCATGCTTGCTCATACTTGAAGAAAGTTTGATGTAGCTTAATGCTGTATAGGTTTATAATTTACCCATGGCCATTCATCAATATGTGATTGCATTGCATTGTGAAATTACGATCTTAGAATGGAGAGGCAGCACCAATGATGAAAATAACAGCCTTCTCACAAGCAAAAGCAATCAGGTTAAAACATACCGAATGCAGAAATAGGATGAACACATGCACATGTTGAGGCACAGGATATCCTCACACAAGAGAGCTGGTGATGTGCTGCACAGTGCAACCGTGTTTAAATAGCTTTCATGCTCCTGTTTAGCAACCATGCATGGAAACTTTTAAAGGTTAATTTAATTCTCTATTAATGAACACAATGCTTATGCACCAAAATTCCTCCTACTTTAAAGGGTTCAATCATTTTAAAAATGCTTTTGTATGCTTCATTGGTAGCCGCATTTGCTTTAACCATTTATTGAAAATATTACCAAAAGTAAGTAATGTGTATTCATATAGCGCATTTATTGTGTATGGCCATACACTTAAAGCACTTCATAATCATGAGGGGTAGTCTCTCCACACCCCCACCAGTGTGCAGCATTCACATAGATGATGTGACTGCAGCCACAGGACAAAGGCGCCAAGGCGCTCACCACACACCAGTTATTGGTGGAGTTGAGTGGAGAAACAGTAATACAGCCAATTCAGTGGATGGGGATGATTGGAAGGCCATGATCGGTATAGGCCGATAGAGGGAATTTGGGCAGGACATTGGGGTTACACCCTTACTCTTTACGAAACGTGCCATGGGATGTTTTATGACCTCATCTGAACGATGGCGCTCACTGCCAGTATAGTGTCCCCTTCACTATAGTTGAGCCTTCACAACTTGCTGTGCACTATAGTTCACAGCAAGTTGAGTTTCCCCTGCTGGCCTCACTAACACCATTTCCAACAGCAATCTGGTTTTTCCTTGTGGTCTCCCAGTCCTGCTTATGCCAAGTTCAGACTGCATGATTTTAGCCCCGATTTGGACTCAGCGGCAGGTTTTGAGAAATCGCCGACAAATGCCTGAAATCACAGGCAGATCGGTGCTTGTTCACGCGAATAACAATCACACAATGTGAACTATCAAAGACGCAATCTGAGAGAATCGCCGATGAGTCGCCGATGCCCGTTGGCATGCTGAATATCTGGAACTGTCGGTGATTCAAATCATGCAGTGTGAAATAAGTTTTGACTAAAAATAACATCAGCGATCACCTACAGCCAATGAGAGAGCAGCATTCACTAGTGTGGGTACCTGCAGGGCAGCGGGAGGTTGGGGGAGAAGTTAACAGCGTTCATTTTCTGTCTATTTGGACCCAAGAAATGGAGAAAAACTACTGTCAATTTGGCAGGAGCACCGTTTCTGTTTAACGTGTCATGTGAGCAATACTCACAACCGGGTCAAAAAAAAAATATTTTTTTGAGGAGAAATTGCTAATTCCCTTCAAACCCAGGTGAGCAAATATGTACATTTTCTACCCAATTAAAGGCTTCTTTCTCATTATGCAGTTAATAACTAAAGATATACTATGTGTCTTTGGTTGTGAGATGTAGTTTGGATGAAGTTGTCGGCGATTCTTCCTATCGTAAAGTCATGCAGTGTGACACCCCCTGTCGCCGATCCATCTTGCAGTGTAAACAAAGCAGCGACAAAACACTAGCCCAGATAGTCATGCAGTGTGAAAACATCCGTGACACGACTACTTTGAAAGTCTGAACTCGGCATTAGCTTCAGTGAGTAACCTGTCTTGGGTGCTATCTGTGCTAACTGATCTAAGAACAATTCACTCGGCTCATAGTGAAGCACGGAAAGATCTTCTGATCAAAGCTACTGACAATACATTTTATTTAAACCTAGGTAATGTTTAGTAACACTGTTTTTCGTAATATGGTTTTAGTATCATCATTATTACAGTAACATTCCTTTAGGAATTTAACTCTCCATTTATGTATAGTTAACTGGTGATCTGGGATTAACCCGGACAGACTGATGTTCTTAAATATGTGATTGTTTACAACAAAAAAAAAGTCAATTGTTTCTTAAGAAAAGTTTTGTTGAATTTGAATTTGAATTTGATTAATCACAGAAAATCATGTGATTTATTTGCTTGGTTTGTCACATTTATGAAGTATGCCTGTCTCTTTGTGGCCATTAAAACTTGTCATAATGTCTGCATCTCTCTGTTTTTGTGTGTTTCTGTCATGTGAAGTGGAGAAAGTGAGAGTCATGGAGGGAAGGACGGTAGTTTTAGAAAGCGTTGCAGAAATACGGACTGACGATCATGTAGAATGGACATTTAACTATAAGAAGCCTCCCGTAGCTGAAGTCAGAGATGGACAACAGATCTTTCCATCTGATGTTCATGATGGGATATTCAAAGACAGACTGAGGCTGGACGAGAGGACTGGATCTCTGACCATTAAGAACATGGAACTAGCACATGCCGGGTTTTTTTATCTGAAGATCAAGAATAGCAGAGCAACAATCCAAGACAAAAGATTCACAGTTGCTGTCATTGGTGAGTATTTGAGGTCTTTAATTTTTTATTGATTTTTTCCCCTGCTTCTGACGAGTCTCCTACTCTTCCTGCTGTGGTTATGAGACTCCTCAGGAGAATGATTTCCACCTGTACTGCTACCTTTAAAAGCCGGATTTGTTGGCATGTTCCAGAAAGAGAGAGTGTGTGCAGAGATGGTGTTTATTTGCTCTTGTTATGGTTCGTTTCTTTATTTCTGTAGTTTATTTTTGAGGTTATAATTAGTTGAGTATTGTTCTGTTAGATACTTAAAGGTCCAGGACACACAAAGCCAACAGTCTGTCATTAGGCTTCGCTGGGGCAATGTTCACTTCTGGTCCAGCTAGTTGGTTTAGCCCTTGTCTGCACAAACACGGGCATTTTCAAAACTGTACTTAAAAAAAAAATTTGTCCACACAAAAATCAGTGTCAGCTGACTGAAAGCAAAACATTCTGAAAACTCCGGCCAGGGTGAAGACTTTTCAAAACTCTGGGTACAATGTGGTCATGTGGATGCTACAACTAGAGTTTTTTTCCTCATGATGTCAACATGTGCAGTGTTTTCTCCTTTCTGATTGGCCAACATCATGGCTGGGTTTACGCCAGACATGAAAGATCCAACTGAGGCAAACATTTGCGCATTCGCAGCAAACGGATCAAATATTTTGTGTCATTAGTCTGAGGGATGGTAATGCCCCTCTGTTCTCATGTTTGCATTAATTCATAGGCAGTTTACTTGTGCAAATACTTCATTCCCCGTTTGGTGTGAAACCAGCATAAATGTGGTATTATCGCTGCCCGTTGATTTGGCATGGCCTTATCATGCATGACAGTGCATTTTTTGCATGTGTAAAACCTTGTTAACAAAAATACCCACGCATGTGACGTAATGGCCTTGGTATGGTCCACACATCACTTCTTGTCAGGTTAACATCGGAGCTCGTCGACCTGATTCAGCATGTAGAATAAGCAGTGGATCAAAAAACCAAGTGATGTAGGAAGTAAACAATCCTAGTAAATAAAGTAAACAAAAAGCCAGGCTGTAACTACATTTATCAAACTATATGGATTATTAGATTTTCAGCCATGTTGCATGAGTGAATTTCTCAGTGGTGAGTGTCAATTTCTGTGATAAAGGTGCATTAGGGTTGGGCCGATAGACGATGCCATTGTCCATCGCCGATGGCCAATAGACAACACGATGCTGAGCCTGCATTGCCGATCCTCCGCCCCGCCCCCGTCGCAAACCTGCTCGCAAAAAATACACACTCAGGCCCTGTTTACACTAATACGTCTAAGTGTTAAAATGGCATTTTAGATCGAAAATGATCCACATCCACACCATGTTTTACCTAGCATTTCTGAACACCCCACTCGCTGAAAACGCACATCACACACACACACACACACACACACACACACACACACACACAGCCACACACTGTCATAGGCTGTAAACATAGCAGTAAACGTTAGACAGTTTATCAAGGATCATCAATGCATTGCATTACATTGTGTTTTAAGTCTTTATAATTTAGATCATTAAACAAAGCATTTAAATATCAACTTACTGAGACATATTGGGACTTGTAGAGTGAGATAATATATTTTTATATTTATATTTTGCATATAAAAATTATTAAATTCATTTGTTTTCAATTCTGTCTATTTGTTTGTTGTGGTTTGTATGTTTTAAGGCTGCCTTTGTAAAATGTTACAGCCTGGAAAAAATAAAAGCTCAATAGTGTTAATTATGCAATGGGCTTTAAAAGTAGCAATACGATTAACCATTGTTTTTTCCCTGAAATGTGTGTGTAACCTAAACTTTAATGTATATATTTTTATATATTTTACAAATCCATAAACTGCTGGAAGCTGGATGTGATGATAGTCTCACATAATGATACTGTGATTCTTTTAAAACTGCTTTTATTCAACAGTTTAACAGTCTTCATAGATTTAAAATGTACTTATTCTATGTTTCTGTGCATAAATTATCAAAATGAATTAAAATATAATTTTGTTATATTTAAGTTTTTCATCATCATTTAGGTTATAATTAAAAAAAAGAAAAAGGAAAAAAAAAATATATATATATATATATATATATATATGTGTGTGTGTGTGTGTGTGTGTGTGTGTGTGTGTGTGTGTATATATATGTATATATATATATATATATATATATATATATATATATATATATATATATATATATATATAGTTAGAAGTTAATGTAAGTGATTAAACAGTGCGCCTATGTGATCGTGTAAACCATTGTGCCAGGCATAAAAGCAACCTTATTTAAAAAAAAACGCATCAGCATCAAAAATGTTCCACCAATGAGGACTTGGACTTTTGTTAATATGCCTGGAGCTGCTGAAGATACAGTAAACACTACTTGTAGGTGCTCAATCACAAAATTTGCTCGACTTGATGCAACAGTAACTACAAATGCAACAGCAACTACAATGTCAGCAGGAGGGAGTTGTTATGCAGAGTAACTAATAGGCGATGATGAGTTTCAATTCACTTTTCTTTCATGACTTGCAAGCGCTATCTAAAGTCAGGGTGATATTGTGTTTACTCTGCTCATCATCTGTGAAACATAGATTGAGTTTAAAAGCTGAATACCGTCTCAAAATATGCTGATGATAAGTGTGAGCAAAAAGCATGAGTGTGTACATTGAGATTGTAACAAATATAACAAATGTCTTGTTCAGTTTAATGTTCAAAGAAGATTATTCTCACCAAAAGAGTCGAATGTGCTATTGACTGTGTTTAAAAAAGAATATACACATTTTATAACTAGTGCTAATTTAATTTGAAAAGTAATTTACATTTAGTTTGGCTTTTTTTAAAATGACTACAGACTAGATGTTTAGACCTTTTTTAATATCTGTTATTGTTACAGTTCCCAGAAGAAACCGAGTGAAGGATTCAGCAACTGTGGAATTCCAGTGTTAGGTAAAGATGTTCTGACTGTTGTGAATGACAATGTGGGAACAAGTTCACTTTAATAAGGGAAGACACGCCCACCAGCGTCAATCACTGTCACATCATCTACATTTATAGCTCAAGCTACAACAACTCGCATTTCTTTCAATGAATGTGAAAAATTAACATGTGTTTATTCAGCTGTTATACTCGCATGTAAAAAGATTCTTTCATTTTATAAATGTTACATGTATTGGAAAACAAATTATAAAGTTCCAATGTAATAATATATAACTGAGAAAGTTGTGTTCATTGTGTGTTACAGTTCAGGTTAGGCACCCCAGGCGTCATAATCTTTTGTCTTAATGCACTTCCTGAACATCGGGCATGGTCTCACGTTAATGTAAATGGTAAAGTCAAAGAACAGTTGTGGCTTTAGCCCCTTTCACACATACAGACCTTTCCGGAAAATTACCGGCAATTTTCCGTAAAGGTTGTATGTGTGAACAGGTCCTTTTTGAAAATACCGGTAAATTCGTTCTGGCTATTTTCCGGAAAGAGAAGTTGTAACATTACCGGCAATTTGCCGGACTGCTGCGCTGTGTGAATGCAGAAGGAAGATTGCCGGAAAGAGCGTGTCCACGTCTAGAACGTGCTGACGTGAGACACCTGCTTTAGCCAATCAGAACAGTCGGACGCATTCACGTGGGCGCGGTTTATGAGAATAGAAGCCTTTGAATATTTTTCCAGACACCTTTAGCTGCTAGATGTTAGTCAGATAACGTTTCTTTGTTCCTTATTAATGCTGTGTAAATAATTATCGATAAAATGTTTATGATAATCCGTTGTTTGTTTACCTTCAAGCTTTGCGTGTGCCCGTGAGCGCCCATAGCGCCAGCACACACATATATCTTGAACATCTCGACATGCGAAAGTGTTTCTCTATGTTTTCATTGGAGTTGTACTCAGTACTGATCCATCCGAAGAGTTTTTAATGTAGTCAAATGTTTACAAACACAAGCGCAGCCGTTTAGAGGTCATTTCTGGTTAATGATGTCAGAATTTACCGGCATTTTGGAATGGATGTGTGAACGGTCTTTTCCGGAAAAATTCCGTAACGTCCTCGCCTGTGTGAACAGTGCTTTTTTGAATGTACCAGTAAAGTCGTTCCGGAAATTTTCCGAATATTTACCAGTATCACTGTGTGAAAGGGGCTATTGTCTCTATTAGCACTTATGCATTGGGATTGGTTGACTTCTGTACTGTATTTGCATAATCTGTTTAGAGTTGTCTCTACCTCTATGTATCACAATCCTTTAAAGTGTATAAAATACACTGCACTAGACAGAGTTTGATGACTGCTAGTTATCAATAAAGAAACCTGCTTAAGAGTTACCTCCGGAGTCTCCTCACTTCTGAATTCACTACAGTCTTGGTGCCGTGACCCGGATTGAGCTCCTCACATAAACCCAGATTGAAACTTTATGCTCAACTAAGATCAGACTTTACTCCAGACTGAATGTTTTCAGATCAACCTTGATTTGGTGAGTTTCACTCTTATTAAAAGAAACACTACAAACCGTGTAAATGTAGTTATTTTCTGTGCCGCCATGCATAAGTTAAAAAAAAAAAAAAAACGCTGCAGGGTTTGATTAACAGAAAAGGATATCCTCTACTTTGATAGAGAAGAAAGTTTATCCTTTGATTAGTCACAGAAAGTTAACAACAGATACAATGTGTAAACAATAATTTTGATTTTGATTTGATTAAGTTAAGTTTGATGTTATTTATCTGTGACACTTTAATCTTCATTCTGAAAGTTTTTGTATGTAACCCTCGATACACAAATATAGTATAAGCTGTAAATCAATGGACCAGATGCTCAGAAGTCTAAATTCCTCCTAAGAGAGAGAAGATACGACCACAGTGAAGAACTCGGACACAGCGGTAAGGTAAGAATAATAAAAGTTTGTATTGTAACAATTCCACAAAAATCTAAAATAAAATTAAATAAAGAAAAAAATAAAAATAAAACAAGTTCTAGGCTTTTTTACACTTATCTAAAGACTTCAATCTTATTTACACTCTCGAATAACACTTCTCTCTTTCTTCACAGGGTTTTATGGCTGTATCTCTAAAAAGGTAAGCAATATGCTATTTTTTTCTGTTTTTCTATAATTAGGAGCTAATATTGTATTTTAGTTACTATTATAAACAATAATATAATACTAATATACTAACAACAATATTATATCAAAGGTTTATGAGTGTTAGTTAATAATATAATATTAAATTGTTTTATCATTACACACACATCCAATCAAAATTTATCTTCTTAAACCAGTCAACTTCTTTCAATGAAGTTTCAAAACATTCAAAGAATGAATACTCTATTGAAACAATGTACAAGTACAATGAAAATGAAACATTCTTTTAAAACATTTCAAAATGTCCCAAAAGTCCAGTCCAGAATGATGAACATTAAAAAAAAAAAAAAAAAAGATTATTTTGCAAAACAACTAGGTTGCAAATTTAGCTCCAGAAATCCAGAATGTTGCACTTGTGAGTGTGTTGTAAATTTACACTCCTACCATGACGCTGAATAGGTTTTACTTTGTATCTTTCCAACAGGTGTATCCAAAGAGTCCACTTAATGGGAGGCTTGCCAGTCCATCTCCACAATTAGACATGCACCGATGGAAGTTGAGACGATCCACAATCCAGAAAAGAGTTCACATTTCAATCAATTCGAATCCAGAGCAGATCACATTCATCAACTGACGTCAATAGAACATCTCACCGATGAAGAAACAGAAGAAGATGCACAAACAAACAAAACAAACAAACAAACAAACAAACAAATCTCAATCATGCCTGAATAATAAAAGCAGAGGGAAACATTTGGAGGTTTAAAGTTAGTCATCAGATTTGGCGCTCCTATTGGTTCTTTGATCACAGCTAATCTCACGCTAGGTGTCTGAAATCTTCTGAAACAACAGAACTTTATTAGAGAGATAATCTGATTGCTGTGGCATTAAGCACTCAACAATCAAAGACCACAGATTTTAGCCTATATTAATTACAGGAATCTTTTAGGATTTCCTAAATGTTTCTCAGATGACCAAATTGTGGCTGAAATCACACAGTGTGAGCAGGGCTAAACTCAGAGCGAGAGTATTCTCTTTTAGAGACAAATTGAACTTCAAACAAAGATTAAAAATGATGTGGAAGAAATTTGAGGACATTTCGTTGGTGCTTGTGGAGAGATGTTTAATCATTATTTAAGCCTGTTAGCTGTCTCTAATGATAGAAAGAAATGAATAACAGAATGATATGAGACTCAGGAGGTGTATCTGTACTGAAAGTAAAACCTGAGGTGACGGAAATCCGTGTTTAGGTAGCAAACCTTTTTTTTTTGCTCAAAATATTTTCATTTTAGCGTTTATTATGTTATAAATGTAAAAAAGTATGTCAAAACCTTGATATTTACTCTGCCACTTACTGCTATAAACAGAAATGGCATATTTTTGACATTTTCATGACTGTACAACGCTCTTTCTGTCATTCATTCATTTTCTTGTCAGCTTAGTCCCTTTATTAATCTGGGGTCGCCACAGCGGAATGAACTGCCAGCTTATCCAGCAAGGTTTTACACAGCGGATACCCTTCCAGCTGCAACCCATTTCTTGGAAACTTCCACACACACACACACACACACACACACACTCATATATATCATGTATCATCATGTATATACACTATACATCAATCACAATCATGTATATACACTACGGACAATTTAGCCTACCCAATTCACCTGTATCACATGTCTTTGGACTGTGGGGGAAACCGGAGCACCCGGAGGAAACCCACACGAATGCAGGGAGAACATGCAAACTCCACACAGAAACGCCAACTGAGCCGAGGCTCGAACCAGCGACCCAGTGACCTTCTTGCTGTGAGGCAACAGCACTACCACTGCTTCGCCACGCTCTTTCTGTGAAATAGATTATTTGACTTTACCCAGGGTTTCATAGAACGGGTTATAAATAATAAAGTAAAATCGAGTGAAATGTAAGTTGAATCACACTGATTTTCCTACAACATATCTATGATAAATATAGAATATTAATTACTATATATTTTTCATCTACATTACATTTGGTGTGTACACAGACAATCACATTACATATTTAGCACAAAAAAAAGTTATATGAGACAAACTTTCCTTCAAATCCCCAGACAAAATAAATGTTTTCAGTGTATCAGCCATAAAATGACCTTAAAATAAGCGGGTTGATTTCACTTATGTTGGGCTTTAAAACAAAATCTGCTGTTCTTTACATTTCAGTAAAGAAGCGGAAATATTTATAAAACATGACCCAACAAAATGTTTATTCTTTAGTTGTAAACACCAAAATGTGCAATTTAATCATGTATATAAAAGTGATCATACATGAAACCCCTGAGATCAGGACAGGTATCTGATGTTAACTAATATAAATGTGATCATACATGAAACCCCTGGGATCAAGACAGGTATCTGATGTTACTGTATATAAAAGTGATCATACATGAAACCCCTGGGATCAGGACAGGTATCTGATGTTACTGTATATAAAAGTGATCATACATGAAACCCCTGAGATCAGGACAGGTATCTGATGTTACTGTATATAAAAGTGATCATACATGAAACCCCTGAGATCAGGACAGGTATCTGATGTTACTGTATATAAAAGTGATCATACATGAAACCCCTGGGATCAGGACAGGTATCTGATGTTACTGTATATAAAAGTGATCATACATGAAACCCCTGAGATCAGGACAGGTATTTTAAGTTATAACAGTATTAATGTAATCTGAGAGGTATCTTAAGTTAATTTGTTTAATATAACATACACTGACTTCACATGAAACACCTGATCAGGACAGCTATTTTAAAGTGCTGCATATAAAAGGTATTGGACACGAAACCCCTGCGATTACGTACAGGTATCTGAATCAAACGGCTGTTTTCACAATCTGCGCATGATCCGTGACCTATGCAGTGGCGGTTCTAGACCAGAGTAACTGGGGGGGCCGGGCAGGGGCCACTTCTACTTTTGAGGGGAACACTTTAACATACATCGCAAACTATTTAAACAATTATTCAGTCATTTTTTAATGCATCACTCTGCAGTTTTTATAAACATTCATTAATTCTCTTATCAGCTTAGTCCCTTTATTAATCTGGGGTCGCCACAGCGGAATACGCCGCCAACTTATCCAGCATGTGTTTTACGCAGCGGATGACCTTCTAGCTGCAACCCATCACTGGGAAACACCCATACACTCATACACCACGGACAATTTAGCTTAACCAATTCACCTATAGCACATGTTTTTGGACTTTGGGGGAAACCGGAGCACCCAGAGGAAACCCACAGCAACACGGGAAGAACATGCAAACTCCACACAGAAATGCCAACTGACCCAGCCTGCACTCGAACCAGCGACCTTCTTGCTGTGAGGCGATTGTGCTACCCACTGCGCCACCATGCTGCCCTGCCTTCATAAATAAGCTAAATAAATAACTTAAACTCGAAAATGATCTTCCACGGTCATTTATTTGACAAGTAACTTTGTATTGTAGGATAACACATTTCTAACATTCAAGTACAGCAAGGCACATTTTTACACCTGTAAACTTTAACAGATGCAGTTGAAGTCAATTTTTTTGCCCTCCCAATAATTTAAAATAATGTTTTCAAAGTGATCTAAATCAAACCAAGGAGATTTTCACAGTATTTCCTATAAAACACAAATAATTCATCTGGAGTCATAATAAGTCTTATTTCTTATAGTTTATTTCTTGAATACAAGCATTTTTAAATAAAAAAAATTTAAGTCAGCTTTTTTAGGAAATAATACTGTATATTTTATTGATCATCTACTCAACAAACGAGTTATACAATGACCTGACTAATCATTCCAACTTTCCTAGTTAACATAACCTAATTAAGTCTTTAAATTACACTTTAATCTGAATCAAAGACTAGAATACTTAATGGGACTTTGTATACAACTGTCTTGCTAGTAAATATCATGCACAGTCACCATGGGAAAGGTAAAAAGTAGTTATTAGAAAAACTGCTTAGTTAAACTATTATGTTTTAAATCGTGTTGTAATAAATCAAGTGTTGATGACTCGTGCTTTATGTCACGACTGAAAATCAAAAACGAATGAAGGCAAAACTAAACGAGTTGAATATTCCTTTTACATACGTGACTGAAAACTTAACTGGATCACTGTTTCATCTGATCTGTTCTCCTGTACTTGCCGACTGTTCAAGTTCTGTAAGTTCAAGTCTGCATTTCCTAACGTAAAACTATGTACACTCGATTTCTGATTATTAATACCTCTGCATAGCCGAGCACTTACTATATTAACAGTGTTAAAATCGCTATTGAAAACAGAAGCCTAATATCATCAACAGTGGACATTTTGATAGTGTTTCACAACATGAACATGACTGAAGTTGACTCTTTTTATTACCTGTGTCAATTTTGGGGTTAACTTCTGGCAAATGCGGGGAACTGAAGTGCGCAGCCGTCACTGACAGAGAGAGAGAGAGAGAGGCAGAGAGAAAGCGCGCGAATGCAGAGAGAGCGAGTGCGCGCCATACGACTCCGCGCGCCACTGAGAGCGCGCGCCACCGGTGGCTGATCTCGCTTCTCCGTGGCGTTTTGACACAAAAATACGCGTCCAAATTTAGGGGGGCCAGAGGGGGGGCCATGCTTGTTAACACCCTCCTCCACCCCCCATCCCCCCACCCCCCGGACCGCCACTGTTACGGAGCAAAAATCAAATGAGAAAACAACAGAACTTGAAATGGGGACGAAAGCCAAACCATGACTCCATAGGGACTAGAAGGACTTTCCAAAGGTGACACCATGTGTCTGGAGGATTGCAGCAGTACCTGGTCTAAAAGAGACACAGTGCTGGAGGAGTAGAACCCCAGATCTAACACCATCAGGAGGGAGGATGGTCAAATCTTGAGGAGAAAGCGGAGGAGTTTGTACTCAGGGATCTACAAAAACACCTGAAACACTTCCAGTTTTAGATGGGAATGAACCAGCTGAAGACATGAATTCACCTGTGGTAAGAAATCTAATATTGCAGTTCAAACAAAGCCTCCTGGTGCAGTCTGGTGATTATTAATAGTCAGTGTTAATTCCTGACACTTTAATTGCTTTGTTAAGTTTGTAACATATACAGTGATTATTTCAGTGGTTGTTTTATCTTCATTCTCCTACTCACTTTTAATAACTTGTTCTTAACATCTTAAAGAAAGGCGATGTGGCGATATTATGTAGAAGTGTATGCTATTGCTAGAAGTAACCACTAGATGTCAGTAATGTTATACTTGTGCGTGTAACTTTTATCTTAAAAATTATTTTCAGAGAAAACATGGATGCAGAACATGTCTAATTTATGGGTACTCAAGATTAATATGAGATTGGTCAAAGTGAGCTTACATTACATTTAAGAAAGGGTGAGTAAATAAAAAATAACTTTTATTGTTAACCACAAAAGCTGATCGTTTACCAGCTCCGAGATGCACGTTTTGTGGTTAAAAACAGTATATGGCTATAAGGTGAAAACAACAAATTCAAATGTAGTGAGTTCTCATATGGACATAATATTTGTTTCTATCTAATTATCCGCTTTCAACAGCTTTATAACAAACAAACAAAAAAACTGATTGTTTGATTACTTATCTATTCGGATTATCACAGGGTGATCATCAGTAATGTTCGTTTTAATCGTGACAGTTCATAATGTTTTGGCTCATCAGTGAAAGAGCAGTTCAAACAATGTGTTTCTATATTCATCCACTAGAGGAAGCTAAAACAATATAATCTACATTAGAAGAGATATTACTGTACATCACATTGAGAGTGTCGGTGGCTGGCAAATAGTTTAAAATAAATATTTGCAATTATATCTGGTGCTTTTAAATACTTATATTATCAGATATGAGGAAATTGAGCTGCAATAAAATAAAGTCTGTATAAAATAAACTCGTCATCAAACCCAGACAGCACACATACGTTGGGCCGACGTCGGCCGAAGGTCAACACGTCGGCCCCTTTAATTCTAACATCTATATATGGTCGGCCAAACATACGCATGATCATTCGGCCGTGTGTTCTATTGTTCCAGCTCAACAAACGTCGGCTCTGCATCGGTTAACGACCAAAGGCCGACGAAGCACTTCATAAGCACTTTATCTCTCATGCCCATGAAAGAATCCGGCAACATATTTGGTTTACAAGTAAGTTTTTGCGTGCATAATAAATTAGACAAACGCTACATGCATCATGTCTACTGCGTCGGTCGGTCCAGCTTTAAATAGTCTATTAATGCAGTAAAACTGACCAAAATGCATACAATACATGATTTCAATTCATTAAAATATAGCAATAAATAGCAATTAAATATAACAGTTTTA